CAGTCCGGTGTTCTTCGTGGACAAAAAAGGGACTGACCAGCCCAGATTGGTCGTAGATTTTAGGGCGTTAAATTTGGTATCAGAACCCGTGACCTTCCCAATGCCCAGGATTGACGACATTTTAACACGGGTGAGGCAGGGAAAGATTTTTACCAAGCTGGACCTCAGGGGAGCCTACAATTTGATTAGGATGAGGGAAGGGGACAAATGGAAGACCACAATGTTCACCCCCCTGGGGGCCTTTGGGTACTTAGTTATGCCATTTGGATTACAGTCAGGCTCCGCCTGTTTTCAAGCTTTCATGCACCACGTGTTGGGGTCCCTGCTGTACAAGAACTGCGTAGCCTTCTTGGACGACGTCTTAATCTATTCGGACAATGAGAAGCAACATGTCAGAGACGTCAGGGAAGTGCTAAAGAGACTGCAGAAGCACCAGTTGTGGGTCAAGCTGGAGAAATGTCAGTTTCACGCCAGAGAAGTCGAGTTTCTGGGGTACAAGTTGTCAGACAAAGGCTTAGCGATGGACCCAAGCAAGGTGCAGGCAGTGCTGGAGTGGAAGGCTCCCAAAACCCGGAAGGACGTGCAGAGGTTCCTAGGGTTCAGCAACTTCTACAGGAAGTTCATCAAGAACTTCGCCCACTTGACAGCACCCATCACAGATTGTCTCAGTAGCAAAAGGAAGTTCGCCTGGACAGAGGAGGCCCAACAGTCCTTTGAAAAACTGAAGAAGGCGTTCGCAGCTCCTGCACGTGGATCTGGAGAAACCCATGAGGCTAGAGACCGACGCGTCCGACAGAGCCATTGGGGCGGTTCTTTTGCAGCCAGGGAGGAGCAAGCAGGAATGGAGACCGTGTGCCTTTTCTCGAGAAAGCTGAACAAGTCGGAGCAAAACTATACGGTGTATGACCGCGAACTGCTTGCGATCTATGTGGCGTTTCGCCGATGGCGACATCTGCTAATAGGGGCGCAGCACAAGATCCAGGTTTGTACGGATCACAAGAACTTGGAATACTGGAGGACCGCACGAGTGCTCAACCAGAGACAGATTCGATGGGCACAGGAGTTCTCCAAGTTTTCCTTCGAAATCCGATACGTGCCAGGAGAGGAAAACGTGAGAGCAGATGCTCTCTCCCGGAAACCGGAGTACTTGGAAGGAGAGGGGCCACCGGAGATACGACACATGATCCCCGAGGACCGATGGGTGTGTGTGGGAACCTTGGTGGGGCAACGAGAACTAGCTGGACTTCCTAGAAACGACGTGTTCGCACAAACTAAAATCCGGGAACTCCGAGACGGAAGAGAAACCCAAGGAGGGTTTGAGGAGAAGGAAGGGGTGTTGTACTATAAGGGGGCGCTGTATGTACCGGGGGAGACCCTATGGGGGAAGGTACTCAAACAACTCCACGACAACCCCACAGCTGGGCACTTTGGACAGCACAAAACCATTATGCTCGTCACCAGGCAGTTCTGGTGGCCCAGGGTGAGGGAGGATGTACGGGAATATGTAAGGGTTGCGACCGCTGCCAAAGGGCAATAGGGGAGCGGGCTGCCCGCGCAGGATTACTGGAACCCTTACCCACGCCGGGGAAAGCTTGGGAGGTGGTGTCCATTGATTTTATGACCGATTTGCCCAAGTCCCGGGGGAAGACAGCGGTCATGGTAGTGGGCGATCTACTAACAAAAATGTGCCATTTTATAGCTTGCTCACATGCGGTCACGGCAGAGGAAACAGCCAGGTTGTTTGTAGATCACATCTTCAGGTTGCATGGGGCTCCTTCGAGGGTTATCTCCGACCGCGGGAAACAATTTACTTCCCGTTTCTGGAGGAAGCTCATGAGCTTGCTACAGGTCGAAGTGGGCTTCTCAACGGCGAGACACCCGGAAACCAACGGGCAAGCAGAAAGAGCGAACAGTATTCTCCAGCAATACCTACGCTGCTACGTCAGCGAGAGGCAGAACGATTGGGTAGAGAAACTAGCGCTGGCTGAATTTGCGTACAATAACGCTGAACATGTGTCAACGGGAATGAGCCCGCTCATGGCCAATTATGGGTGTCACCCCAGGGCCTTCCCGGGGAGTGGGGAGGAAGGTTGGAGCGCACCGGCGGCAGAGCAGTTTGTGGAAGAAATGGAAGCCCTGCACCAGCAACTTAAGATGAACTTGGAGCGGGCCAAGGAAATTTACAAGAGGCAGGCAGACAAGCGCCGTAGGGAAGGGGAGACCATACGGGTGGGAGATCGGGTGTGGTTGTCAACCCAAGGGTTACCTTTTAAGGGGGGGTGCAAGAAGTTGCAGCCCAGGCGGCTGGGACCGTTTGAGGTAACACAGCAGGTGAACCCCGTGGCATTCAAGCTCAAATTGCCTGACAGCATGAAGATACACCCGGTGTTCCATAGGTCCCTACTCTCACCGTACAGGGAAGGACGGGGATTCCCGGGGCGAGCGAGAGGCAGAAGTCACCACACACCCGCAGGTAGAAGAGAGGGAGCACCACAACTTGGCCACGGAAATACTTGATTCAAGGTGGCGAGGGCGCCAGGTGGAGTACTTGGTGGCTTGGGAGGGAGAACCCGGGTCGGAAAACACGTGGGTTCCCGCGGAGGCAATCACTGACGGGTATCTGGTGGAGGAATTCCACCGCCTGTTCCCGGACAAACCCAAACCACTAGCGAGATTCTGGGAGGAGCAATTTGGAACCACAGACGATGAAGAGGATTTTGTGGGTTTTTCTGTCTCCGAAGGGGAGGGAGAAGAGGCTTCGGAGGAAGAAGAATCAGACTGGGAGGCCCACCCCGCGGGAAGGGATCAGAGCGGGTGGGAAGCGGGTTTTGAATCCTCAGAGGATGGCGACAGCTCCTTCCGGGGGTTCCCCGCATCGTCGGCCGAAGAAAGGGACAAAGTTGGATCAACAGGTTGGGCCGGGGGTGGAGGGGGTCCTGGGGGGGAGGTGGATGTCAGGGAACTGACATTGCAGCTAGAGGCGGAGGGAAGGCTCTCAAATGATGCTGGAGAAGGGCCCAGCAGGGAGAGAGGCAGCTCAGCAGATGGGGAAGCAATTCAGCGCAACACCAGGAATAGAGAGGGGCAGATGGGGGAAGCGGCGAGAGGGCTCCCAGACTCTTCACTGGACACCAGCGGGGAGAGCACGGGTCCTCCACTACCCACGCCCTCCCTGCGCAGAAGACTTCCACGCAGAGAGAGTAGGAGGAGACTGGGTGTCAAACAACTTTTATGTTGGAAAAGGTTTAAGAAACGCCCACTGACGGGGATTCTGCTATCAACTGAGGCAGCCACGAAGTGAAGGGCTGCCCAGACTGAAAGGTTTAGCAAGGCAACAAAGCCAGGAGTGGCGGCAACTTACGCACGAGCAACCCATACTCATTACAGATATTAATGGTAAGATAAGGTTAAAATAAATTATGATAATTATATGATAGAAAATAGTGAAAGACGGAAAGGATTTGCTGAAACAATTAATAACTAGAACATAAAAAAGGGAGGTGTGAGGAGGTCGATGAAACAAGTTAATGAAAGACAAAGATATGGAAATATTGGATGTGTTTTTAATTGTTTTTTGCTTTTGCTTTTGTTTTGATGTATTGTGTCTTTTCTTTTTTCTTTTTTTATGTATAGTATTGATTTGCATTGTTTATTTTTTCTTTCTTTTTTGTTCTTTCTGTAATCTTTAAACCTTTAATAAATATTATTTAAAAAACAACAACAAATATTCTCTGACGCTCAAGCATAGCTTTCATTTTCAGGACCCAGCTGGTGTAATTGCCATCTGTAAGAGGAGGGCACATCATTAACCCAACTCCGTGTTTGGAATCCATCTTGGCTCCAATTAACAGCTCTCAGCTCCTTCTAGGCAGCAAGCTGTAAATCTTCAAGCAGTCTTTGGGCAATTAAGACTTGCTTCTTTGAGGTTTAACAGCCTCAGTAAATCAAACTGGTTACTCACAGTTCCAAGCGGCAAGCATCCAAAATCTTCCGTCTGTGTCTGGCAGGAATGCAGCTCTCCCTGGCTGATCCAAGACTCCCCCGAACGAGCAAAGCGTCGTGCTTCATCTCAAAGCAACAGCAGAGATCCGATGAACTGGCACCATCCGTCAAAGCCATCGACAACCATCAAACGTAACTATCAGCAACCAGCTTCTGCTACCATTTGTTGGAAAAAATGCCCGGGAAGGCCGCCACCTTCCCAAGACACTGAGGCGTCTCTCCGGTGGTCACTCTCTGGCTGTATATTGCCCTCAGTCCAGAGAGACCAGTAATAAGTGACTCCTCCCTCCTGAGAGGAGCACACTCGTCTTCTGGCATCCCATTGCAGAAAAAAGAGACAGTCATTAGCTACACACTACTTTATTTACAGTCTGTACACGGAGCTTTCATCCGACATGTCTGCTCTCCCTGAGCAGTAGTACAGAAGAACGACTCGACACTCACTTCACCCAGAAGCGAAAGTAACTTCTTCAGTTACTAAGAATGAGCAGAGACTTCCTGTCTCACGGTCCCAGACATTCACATGATGTCAACAACCATTGTGCTGCTTCTCGCAGCTGGTGAGATAAAAATCCTAACAAGCCCTGCCCCACATAACTGATTGTGCATGCACACCATTTGAATGGCAATGCCCATCAACCTTGGGGGCTCCTGGCCCCCTCATATATTTTATTGGGGGGGTAAAGACCCCTCAGCCCCTAGGAGTTGGCTCCTATGGAGGTGAGGAAGATTCTTGAGAGGCCTATGAGCCTCTCATTGTTAATCTGCTCCCCGCACTTCATTTTTCCATTTAATGTGTGGGTCTTTGGTTGTATTTTCCCTTGAACATAATTAGTGTTCTTGTTACCAGAATCAGCCCACCCCAGTCACACAGAGTGTGTGAACCCCACTGTAAAAAGGACTGTGACAAAAATGCCCCAACACCATTACACTCATCCCAGTTTCTTCTTTTTGTTGTTCTTTTTTTCCTCTCCCCTCCCAAAGTTCATGTTGCCCAGGGACTTCCGGTCAGTGCCAGCAGCAATGGCGGACCTCCTTTGAACTTCGGAGGGGGTAGCCCAGTGAGAGATCGGGTCCTGTGCGCTCCGGCGAAGCGGGGACCCTTAGAAATCGCAGGCGCGGACGCCTGCGAACGTGGAGGCTCGGCGGGCACCTTGAAGCGCCCCCCCCAACCCGAAAGGAAGCCTTTTCGAGGCTTCGGAAGGGAGCGGGGGAGAAGCGCGGTGCTGCGAGCGGATCGCTGCTCTCACTGAGTGAAGCCGCGTTGCCGTTGCTGGAGAGCGCTGACTTATTCCTGGGACATTCGGACTTAAAAAACTAACCGTGAGTAAAAGAATTGGATAAAAGAGCAAGATTTGAATCAATTGGGAACTTTTGTGAAAAGGCGGAAAAGTTTAAAGCTGTTTAAAAACGTCTGAATTGGCTACCGCGGTGGAAGCGTAAACAGGAAGTCCGCTTCACTGCATTGTATAAAGAACAAAGCAAAGAGATTTGGAGCTAAACGTGGGAGAGCTGAATTGAAATAAGTGTATCTTTCTGACCTGAGAACTTTGGAGGGATCTACCCTTAGGAGAGTTAAGGGAAAGACTTTTGATTCTACTGGATTGTTTAAATTGAAGGATTAAATGAGTGATCTGTCACTCAGCTGTCAAAGCTGTCAAAGCTGCTAAAGCTGTTTGCTGGCTGCAAAGGAGATACATAGTGGCCAATTTTACTGGGAAAAGATTGGAAAGGACTGGAAAGCTATATTGTGTCTTTTACTTTGGACTTTTTTTTACTTAGTATCTTTCCCCTGTTGTTCTAAAAAGACAGTAACTTGCTAGGTGGTAACAGTGTCCATCTAGTGGGACTCTCTGCAATTGCAGGAAAGGAAAGGAATTTTCCAATTATAAACAGGAAGATCAGACGTGGGAAAGGAATTTGACCTTCACTCTGTTATGGCTGATGGTTACAAGGACCAGTCAACCTTGAGATCAGGGAAACCTTGGACACATAGAAGGCAATCATCTGCTGGTTTGCCCACATCGGCAATACAATCTAAGTCTGGTGGAATGTCTGAGGAACTTTTAGCCAGTGCTCTGACTAAGATTAATGATTCAATACAGCAGTTAACTACAAAAGTGGGGGAAACGAACAGGAAGGTGGAAGAGACCAATCAGAAAGTGGATATTGCAAACAGGAAAATTGACTTAAATACAGAAACATTAGGTAATTTGGAGAAAAAAGTAAATAGCAATACGGAATCTATTCAGAAACTGCTGCAAGACTCAAAGTTTATACAGGAAAAACTGCTGTTGTAGAGTTTAAATTGGGGCAGTTGGAAACTGAAAAAGTACCAGACTTACAGAAAGAGATTGCAGAACATAAGTTAACGTTATCTATGATTGACCTGAAAGACAAACAAACGAATCTTAGAATCAGAGCTGTTCCTGAGTTGGAGAAAGGTACTTTGATAGACTTTTTGACACAAGAATTTCTGGACTTTTGGAAATCGGAATTGAAACAAGAGGATTTTAAGATTGTGAGGGCCTTTCGACTGGGGAAAGGAGGAAGAAAGATCAAAATAAGGGACTGTTTGATTACTCTTCGATCCAAAGAAGAAAGGGACAAAATTTTGGGTTTACATTACGAAAAACCCTTGACAATTATACAATCAAAAGTTGAAATTTTTAAAGACATACCAAAACACCTTCTTGATTTAAGAAAGGACTTTGGAGACCTGGTGGACTTGTTGAGAAAAAATAAAATTATCTTTAGGTGGGAATTGCCCCAAGGTCTATCCTTTAGCTTCAAAGGAAGAAAGACCAAGATCAGATCAGTGGAGGAAAAGAACAAGTTTCTGAGTGCATACGAAGAAGACCTACTGAAAGGATTGGGAAAAGACATTGCGATACCGGACAAGAGTCTGCAAGAAAAAGGGAAACCAACGCCACCGACAGATATAGATAACCTTCTTGGGGCTGTTGGAGGAGAAGGAGAGTAGCTACAAAATGACACTACAAATTTTAAGCTGGAATATTAATGGCCTAAATTCGTCGGCTAAAAGGGGAAGAGTATTTCATACATTGAAAAAAGAACATTTGGACTTGATCTGTTTACAAGAGACTCATGTGACAAGGCTACATCGGAAAATTTTGATAAATAAAAGATTGGGAGAGGAATTTATCTCATCGGATAATGTTAAAAAAAGAGGGGTAGTACTTTATGCGAAGGAAAGCCTGTCACCAAAATTTATATTTAAAGATGATCAAGGAAGATATATAGCAATTGAAATTCAATTCCAAGGACAGAAATTTTTGATAATAGGTGTATACGCACCAAATGAGGGAAAATCAGAATTCTTCAAGAAATTGCATGAAACTCTCCTGGACTATCTGGATTACAATATTATTTTGATGGGAGACATGAATGGAGTAGTGTCTACAAATATGGACAAAGCCCAAAGACAAACAGTGACAAAAGATGGAAGACTGCCAAAGACATTTTTTGAAATGACTGACAATATGGATCTTGTGGATATTTGGCGAATAAAGAACCCCTTGGAAAGAGAAGGAACCTTCTTCTCTGAAGCAAATATGACATGGACAAGAATAGACCAAATCTGGACAACTAGAGGACTGGCTCCTAAAATTAAAAAAGCGGTGATCTGCCCGAAAATCTGCTCTGATCATAATCCAGTAAAGATTGAAATGATATCAACGCCAATTGGGGCCTTTAGATGGAGGATGAATGACTCCTTATTTAGGAATGAGGAAACTATTAAAAAGGCTCAGAAAAATTTGAGAGACTATTTTGAAATAAATTTGAATACTATGACAGAAAAAAGAGTGATTTGGGATGCCAGTAAAGCGGTGATGAGAGGATTCTTGATACAACAAAACGCAATTAGGAAAAGATATCAAAATGAGAAGAGAGAAAAATTTTGGAGAAAATTAAGGATGGAGAAAAAGACTGAGAGCGAAACCGAACTCACAGGAGATTTTAAAAGAGATAAAGTTATACCAAGTACAATATATGAAATTGATGAACCAGGAGATAGAATGGAAGATCAAACAGATGAAACAAAAGACTTTCGAATCGGCAAATAAATGTGGGAAGTTACTGGCCTGGCAAATGAAAAAAAGACAAAAGCTGAATACGATTACGAACTTGGTTGTAGAAGGGAAGAATATACAGAATCCTGGAGAGATTCGGAAGTGCTTTCAGAATTATTTTAAACAGTTATATACGCAGGAGACTCAGAAAGATCTAGACATTGACCGATTTCTGGAAAATAATGGATTACAAAAAATATCTCAAGACAGTAAATCAATATTAAACTCTACAATATCTGACCAAGAAGTGGAAGGAGCCATTCAGAATATGAAATTGGGCAAATCTCCAGGGCCGGATGGATTAACTGCAAAGTACTACAAAACTTTGAAAGAATGGTTATTGCAACCGTTGAAAGAACTTTGTAATGAAATACTACGGGGAGGAAAAGCACCCGAGTCGTGGAAAGAAGCATACATTACACTTATACCAAAAACCGAAGGGGAGAAGACACAGTTGAAGAACTACCGTCCCATATCCCTACTAAATGTGGATTACAAAATTTTTGCTGAAATTATGGCTAAAAGATTAAAAAATGTATTGGTAAAAGAGATTCATAAAGACCAGGCGGGCTTCCTACCTGGGAGACATTTGTCAGACAATACTAGGAACATCATTAATATTTTGGAAAAACTGCAAGTTAATATCAATAGTAAAGCTGTTCTAATATTTGTAGATGCAGAGAAAGCGTTTGATAACATTTCTTGGAGCTTTATGAAGAAAAATTTGCAGGGGATGGGGGTAGGCCAAAGTTTCGAAAATGGTATAAGTGCAATTTATTCGGAACAAAAAGCTAAGCTTATTGTGAACAATGTAGTTACAGAAGAATTTAAGATAGAGAAAGGAACAAGACAGGGTTGCCCAATCTCCCCATTGCTTTTATATCGGTCCTCGAGGTTTTGCTCAATATGATTAGAAAAGACCAATTGGTTAAAGGTATACAACTCGGAGCTAAACAGTACAAATTGAAAGCTTTTGCTGATGATTTAGTTTTGACATTACAGGAGCCAGAAGCTAGTACAAAAAGAGTGTTACAATTAATACAAGAATTTGGTCAAGTAGCAGGTTTTAAATTAAACAAGATGAAAACCAAGGTATTAGAGAAAAATCTTACAGAGATAGAGAAGGAGAGGTTTCAGAAAGAGACAGGATTAACAATTGTTAATAAAGTGAAATATCTAGGGGTGAATATGACTGCCAAAAATGTGAATCTGTTTAAAGATAATTATGAAAAATGTTGGTCAGAGGTGAAGAAGGATTTAGAAATATGGTCAAAATTGAAGTTATCATTGTTGGGCCGAATTGCAGCGATAAAGATGAATGTATTGCCTAGAATGTTGTTTTTGTTTCAAACATTACAAATTGTGGATAAAATGGACTGCTTCAAGAGGTGGCAAAGAGATATTTCCAAATTTATCTGGCAGGGCAAAAAGCCCAGAATAAAATTTAAGATACTAACAGACGCAAAGGAAAGAGGGGGATTTGCCCTGCCAGATCTTAAACTTTACTATGAATCAGCCGCTTTTTGTTGGCTGAAAGATTGGCTACTTCTTGAAAATGTGGACATTTTAGATTTAGAAGGTTTCGATAATGTGTTTGGGTGGCATGCATATTTATGGTATGATAAAGTCAAAGCGCATAAGGCCTTCAAGAATCATATTGTCAGGAAAGCATTATTCAATGTTTGGGTGAGATATAAGGATTTGTTGGAAAGTAAAACACCAAGGTGGCTGTCACCAATGGAGGCTAAGGCTTTGAAAAAAACAAATATGGAGACAAACTGGCCAAAATATTGTGAAATTTTAGAACAAGTCGGAGATAAACTAAAATTGCAGAGCTTTGACAAATTAAGAACTAAAGTTCGAGATTGGCTGCATTATTACCAAATAAGGGAGGTTTTTAACTTAGATAAAAAGATAGGTTTCCAGGAGGAAAAATCTAAACTGGAAACGGAATTGTTAGAACCTAAAACCAAAAATCTGTCAAGAATGTATAATCTGCTGTTGAAATGGAATACACAGGATGAAATGGTTAAATCTGCTATGATTAAATGGGCGCAAGATGTGGGGCATAATATTATGTTTGCTGACTGGGAACGGTTATGGACCACAGGTATGAAATTTACGGCCTGTAACGCCTTAAGAGAAAATATAATGAAAATGATATACAGGTGGTACTTAACCCCAGTCAAGCTAGCAAAAATTTATCATCTGCCTGATAATAAATGTTGGAAATGTAAAGAAAATGAAGGTACTTTTTTTCACCTTTGGTGGACGTGCCCAAAGATCAAGGCCTTCTGGGAAATGATATATAATGAACTAAAAAAGGTATTGAAATATACTTTCTTGAAGAAACCAGAGGCTTTCCTCTTGGGCATGGTCGGCCAATTGGTGCGAAGGGAAGACAGGAATTTCTTTATGTATGCGACAGCAGCAGCAAGAATACTCATTGGGAAATACTGGAAGACACAAGAATTGCCTACCCGAGAAGAATGGCAGAGAAAAGTGATAGACTATATGGAACTGGCTGAGATGACCGGCAGAATTCGAGATCAAGAAGAAGGGTCGATGGAAGAAGATTGGAAAAAATTTAAAACATATCTTCAGAAATACTGTAATATAAAAGAATGTTAGAAAAGGTTGGAGAAGAATATTAGACCGTATTGGCAGACAGAGTATAATGGAATAAGTAAATATGAAGTGTAAAATAAAAGATAGAGGAGAATTAAATATTTTCGAATGTTAAAATAAGTAAATGAAAAGAAGGTTAGAAGGGTTTGCTGGAGATACGATTCAAATTAGAATACAAAGCAGAGAAGTGAGAGGAAGTCACGGAAATAAGTAAATGGGAAAACGGTTCTAATGGTTTAATTTGATTTTTTGTTACTTTTGTATTGTGATTTTTTGTCTTTTGTATTTTTCTTTGTACCGTGTGTTGTTGTTTTTTTTGGTTGTAGGATGTATGTGATTTGTTTTTCTTTTTTTTGCTTTTTTCTTTTTCTGTAATCTTAAAATTGGAATAAATATTCTTTAAAAAAAAAAAAAAAAGTTCATGTTGCCCAGCTAAAATAAAGGCATGGATCCCATCTTTGTCGCCCTCCCACCTTTCTATAACCCCAAGAAATCCTCATAATCGTTGAAGAAATTCAGAAAAAACAGAGTTAAAGGTATAAACTGTCAAATGTCTATTGCACCACAGCATCCCTAGTGGCCATTCCATTGTTATAACAGCCAAAACCACATTGTCTCCCTGCTATAGAATGATCAGTTAAGATGGATACAATGTAGCAAGACTCACAGCAGGGAGCAGTCTAGATTGTCAACAACAGGATGTTTTTACTTTGAACTGTTTAGCCTGTGGAACTGTGTTATTTTCTTTGTTTTATTATAGAACCTAGCAAAAATGTGAGTGTATGGAATTATGGTTTATAAATTGTGAATCATACAGTATACAGTGCCTTGCATTGTGGGAACCCCATGACAGCCATAATCCCCAAAGCCTACAGTCATGTAGGCTGATGTTGAACAGGAAAACCCTCAAATATTGCCTGCTAAAGACCTTGCAATTGCCATCCTTGGGCTAGAGAAATATGCATAATGGGACCCAGTTCTCTATTGTTGCCTCAAATGGGTTTCAGGAAATATGCCAAACACCTAGGGTTGATGTGTCAATTGTGACACCTCTCCTTGTGTGACACCTCCTCAAATGATGATGTATTTCTGACATTGACCCCATGTGATGCTGACATCATTGAAGGGGAAGGTCCAGTTTTTTCTGCCACAGTATAAAGTTACAGTATGTGTGTGTGTGTATATATATATATATATATATATATATATATATATATATACCCCCATGCAGATGATGGAAGGGGGGTGGTTTTTCTTTTATTATGGATTTGAATCTTGGCCAACCAAATAAAATTGATCAAAGGCTTAGCAGCTCACTTTGCTTCATTCTATGCCTGGTTGCCCCTTCTTTGTCTTCACTTCTCTCTGACTGAAGAACATCCAGCTAAGGGTTTGCCTGAGGCAATGGGGGTTCAGCTTTCTGCTGGAGTCCCCCAATTCCCTCCTCTCTGGTTACATTCTTCTCCTACCTCACACCTTTTCTCCTTGAGATTGGGGGGGGGGGGCTGGGTGTTGGTTGTATTTCACCTAAGCTTGTGTTCCTAGACTGCTTTTACAGTTCCACTCCGATCTCACTGTAGAGAAGCAACAGTCATCTTAGATGTGGCAGTCCTTTCAGCTCGTTTTCCTCAGCACTCCTTGTAACCACCCACCCTTATGGTACAGAAGTTCCAGGCCATTCCCCGATGTCATCAATGGTTGGCTTGCATGGCTGTGAGGTGACCCCTTATACACACCCCATCCAGCAGTTTAGCAGCCGACAACTCTCTCAACCGATGGCAGCTTGTTCGGCTTCTACCCCTCCCAACCAAGCAGAGGTGTATATCCGGTGGCAACAGGAGTGCTGCCTCTTCTGCTGCCACTGCTTTGCCTAGCCTTGTGGGCAGGCCTGCTCTGTTGTGATAAACGCCATAAGGGGGGGGGAGCGATGTTGTATTTCTCTATATGAATCCTCCAAACGCATGAATTAATAACATGCTTTACTCTAGTCCTAGGAACTGTAAAAATAGGGAAGGCAACTTCACAAGCCTTCTTTTTTAGGATTTTTAAAATTTGCAAACAATTAATTTTATACAGTCTTAACATCAGAAGGTTTTACAATCATAATAACCCAAATACAGTCCAGAGCATATCTCATGTTTTCAATTGTAACAAATTCTTCACAAAATCCCTTGTTTTGCTCTTCATTATTCTCCTTCTTTAGACTCCACCATTTTAACTTCTTAAGTCACATACTGTATATAGCCTTGATAGTTTTCCAGATGTGCCCCAATACCTCCCTCCCCCCATACCCTTTACTTCCCTTCACCCATGTGTGATCTTCTTTACACAATATTATTCCTCGTTGTGTTAACCGAAATTTATATTTATTATTCCATATATATTATAGTACGTCTTGTCTCCTTCTGTGGTTTACCTATTGCATATTAAATTTAAACTCTAAATCCTAATCTTTCTATATATTCCTTTACGCACTCCCACTCTTTGTTGATTTTTTGATTTGAGCAGCCCCTAATTGTTGCTGTTAATTTTGCCATCTCAGCAAATTCACAGATTTTAGCTCTCCATTCTGATATTTGTGGGTTTTTTTCTTTTTTTCCATTTTTTCCCCATTGATAATCTGGCCGCTGCTGTTGCATAAAGAAATACATTCCTTTTGTCCTTGGGGATGTCACTCGTTATTAAGCCCAGCAAATATGCTTCCGGCTTTTTAGAAATTGAACTCTTGAATATCTTTTTAAGCTCTTCATGTACCGATGTCCAAAATTGTTTGACCACCTTGTACCCCCACCACATGTGGTACATCGTCCCTACCTCTGATTTACATTTCCAGCAGAGATTTGAGTGGTTTTTTGTAAATCCTTGCTAATTTTACTGGAGTGAGATACCAACAGTAAAACATCTTCATTATATTTTCTTTTATCAAATTGCAAACCGTAAAGTTAATATCGGTTCTCTGTAGCCTTTCCCATCTATCTAGGTGAATTGTCTGGCCTAGATCTCGTGACCATTTTATCATTGTTTCTTTTATTATTTTATCTTTCAGTTCCCATTCCAGGAGTAAACTATGTTGGGATTTTAGTATCTCACCAGCTGCGAAGAGCAGCTACTGTGTTGACATCATGTGATGTCTCTGAGTGTGGGACAGGAAGTCTCAGCCAGTTCTCTTGTAACCAGAGAGTTACATAGAGTTACTTTCACTTCTGAGCAGTCATGCCTGTAAGAGCTGCGTGTACAGTCTTAATAAAGTAGTGAGTAGACTACGGACTGTCTCTTTCTTCTGTGATGGGATGCCAGAAGAAGGCGAGTGTGCTCCTCTCAGGAGGGAGGGGTCGCTTATTACCGGTCTCTCTGGGCTGAGGGAGGTTTCCAGCCAGAGGGTGACCACCGGAGAGAAGCCCCGGTGTCTTGGGAAGTTGGCACCCTTCCCGGGGGCTTTTTTTCCAACAAACTATACATTCTCGATATTAGTCTCTTATTTGGTTGTAGGAGTTCACTTTGTAATTTTGATGTTTTCTGTTCAAATCCAATTTTTTTGTCTTCTTTAAAATGGTACGCTGCTTGATAAAAATTTAGCCAACTATTGCAGTAATTATCAATTTCTTCATAGGGTTTTAATCTTACATCACCATGCTCTTTAACTAATAGCCAACCCTTTTCCTTATTTTTCTTTTTCACAGCTACAACTTCTAAGGGAGATACCCACCAGGGTATCTTTGGTTCTAAGAGCCATCAGTAGTTCGCCCAAACCTTGTATAATGACTTCCTGATTATATGGTTCTGGAAGTCCTTATTTACGGCCACCTTATCATAAACTAGGTAGGCGTGCCAACCATACCGGTTGTTCCATCCTTCCAAGTCTAGAATCTCTGTATTTCTTCGCATGACCCAATCTTTAATCCATCCAGCGGGAAGGTAAATGGTGTTTCCGTGCGCTGTTCTGGTTTGCCAGAAGCAGCTTAGTCATGCTGGCCACATGACCCAGAAGCTGTACGCCGGCTCCTTCGGCCAATAAAGCGAGATGAGCGCCGCAACCCCAGAGTCGGTCACAACTGGACCTAATGGTCAGGGGTCCCTTTACCTTTACAGCAAGCTGCATTATAATATAGTTTCAAATCCGGGAGCCCAAAACCACCTGTCTCCTTAGTATCTGTTAGCAATTTGAATTTTATTATTCCCATGCCATATAAATCTTGATATATCGTTTCTCCATTTTTCAAAAATCTCTAGTTTAGAAATTATCAGTATCATTTGGAATAAGAACAATAACTTTGGCAATACATTCATTTTTATCATCGAAATTTCCCCCAAAATTGATAGCCTTTGCCAGATTTCTAATTGGTTCTTTATTTCTTTCCAAGTTTTATTATAATTATCTTCAAACAGGTTAATGTTCCTCATCATTAAATAAATCCCCAAATCCGCTTTTTTCTTCTAAGTTCTTTTCCCCCTGTATGTCCATGTTTTTTTTACCATTACCTTCGTTT